TTAATTACTTTCACTTTCCAAAATTTCTCTTAGATTTTATGATATTTATTGCTATCAAAGCCATATTACATGTTCAAACTTTATACAGACAAACGAGATTAATTGAGACACCGTGTGTTTGAGAGGGAAAGTTTCCAGATGTTTCCAGGGACTATATCAACAACGAAGATAATCTCTATGCTTATAGTTTATTTGATCTCTGAATATAGAATGATCTAAAAAGTTATTTAACGCATTTCCATTGTAAAATATATTTATGCTAGGTTTCTCCGATTAAAAAATAAACACAATAGAAACGAGGTGAGACTCTAGTAACGAACTTGAGGCTTGGTTTCAGGCTAAATGGGCGGAGTTTAAACGATGACGAAAAATAGCCTAACGCGTTGCCGAAAGTCTTAACGGCTCTCCCAGGCATTGGGAAAAATCCAACGCACTGGTGTTTTTTCTTGATGTACCAAAGACGCCCTAAGTCAAAAGGGAGGGTTCTCGGAGTTTCCTTCAAGCCCAAAACCCTGGATGGCGGCGTTATTATTTCAGAATAAATCATTATAGATTTCAAGATCATATCACGGAGCAGTACTCTAGAAAGATTATTTTACTTTTCTATGTATTGGAATCTTTGACAAATTGGATGCGATGCGACTGCGATTTGCGAAGTTCTGGCTTCGCCCGGGCCTTCGGGTATGACCCGGCCTGTGTCAGCTTTTTTTAGGGCTGGCTCATTTTATTCTGTGACACTCGGCGCTTACCTACAAATTGAAAGCAACTTATGTATATATACAGGGACGGTCAACGTGACGTCACGATCAGAAGTCACATGACCAATTGGTGGCTCTGGTGGGCAAAAAACAACATTCGCCATTAGCATCGCAGTGAAACTCCAGTGTTCTTAGTTGTTATCTTCGTTTATTCTTCACGTTTCGTAAATTTCCAGTCTTTTATTCGGATAGTTATATCTTTACCTGTCGATCATCGAAAATGTTTAGTAGTTGCATTATCATTGGTTGTTTATGTTTTTGTCATTTACCAAAAGACACTGAATAAAGAAGACTTTAGCTAGCAGCTATTAGACGCAAAGATTATATCCCTCCTTTGGATAGTGATGTAAGAGTATGTGGAATTAATTTTATCAATGGTAAGTGTATATCTTCATAAGTCGAATATCAGAATTCTGAGGTATGATGAAGCATGCACTATTTATGTTCTAGAAACTCTCTGTGAAGGCAATACTTTGGACTTCAAAAAACAGTAAGGAATTCCGTCGTCAACAGTATGAATGAAAACAGTCTGGGCTTGTCCGCTAACAATATAAGTAGACATTAGTCCAAAAAGGTTTGTAGTTACAATCTCGCCTAACAGAATATAACCTAACACTGTAAGGCAGTGAGACTGAATTGTAATACATGCCTTTAGGCTTAGAATTCGAATATTCAGAAAAAAAATAGCATGAAACTTAAAATGTATACTTTCTTGTAGACATCAAGAGATTTGTAGGGGTGTATGTATGAGGTACATATAAATATCTCCAAACGTTATATCAGGCCAGCCACTTGGGCTTTCAGAACATCCATTTAGCATATACGGATCTGGTAAATTCTTGGTATCTTTTGAATTTTGTAGTAGATAGACATAGTTTTCTCTATAGATTCAGCAGCCATTGTTGCTCTTTTTCCCACCAGCGCGATGTGCATGCACGAAAAATTATTATGTTTTTGTTTTGGTGACCGTTCATATATAACAAGATGAAGCATAATGTATACACATACACACACACACACACACACGCACACACACACACACAGACACACACACACACACACACACACACACACACACACACATATATATATATATATATATATATATATATATATATATATATATATATATATATATATGTATATATGTATTTATATATGCATGTGTGTGCTTGTGTGTGGTTCTATACTTACATATGTGTGTGTGTGCGAAAGAGAAAGGGGGAGCATCGCTGTCACCAAATATCAGCAAATGTGGCCTTAGTGCAGGTAAATAAAAGGTGTCTTAGCTTGTCGGTTTATTGTCAAAGGCAGATATTCGATCTCCAAGAGACCCCTGTGTCTCTGAGGTCGAGGACGAGGTGGTGGAGCTGGACCCTGTGTGGCTTGGTCTCTTTGCCATGTCTCTCCCCCTCTGTCTCTGTCTGTTGAAACGTCATTTTATGCAGATGCTCCCTCCGAGGGTTGATGCTTACTTACGCCATAGAAGTGCCAAAAGAGAAAGTAGAACAAGGCACCTGCATCTGCCCAAAGAAGACAGGCAGCTGCTGGGTATAGCAGTGTGAAACATACCATCTGGTCTTACTATGTATTGTTTACATTGCTTGGCCACGCTCAAGGGTCGTCTTCAAGCAGTCTTCAATGCTTGAAACACTTCAATAAGCACATAGGGATACAGGCTCTGCTCAGCACCATACAGATGGTTCTTGGTGATCTGATGGTCGCTAGGGTTGTCACGTATC